CCATAAGCTCCCATCTGTAGATGCCCAGAGCATGCTGCACTTATCGAGCCCCTTCTGCTGCTTGCTGAGCAAGAAAACCACAGGGCAGGATCATGCTTCTAGTCCTGGCTTCTAGACCATAGCGGAGTGCTTCCTAACAGCCACTTCAAAAACCTGCATTTTAACCCGCCTTTGCATTGATGACATGGGGAGGCTTAGTCAACATTTGTTTTGATTGACACTGCTCACATGTTCATGTCCGAGTTAATGAATTCTGTGCTCATGGTACACACAAACATAGGTTTTAAGATACTGAAGCATGCATTGATGAAGTAAGTGAAGAAAGTTACTTTTAATCTATTCTACACATACTTTTATTCACCCTTCTGCTAACATAACAAGGTTGTTTTTTATCACTGTTCTGTTGAAGGAGCTTTAAGCACATACCTACCCTGCTTGAAACTACATTCTAGAAGAGGCCCTCTACTAGAAACAGCACTTAGGAGTCCTTACTGCCCTTCTGGAATTTAGTTCCCATCATTCATGTCGGAATTGGAATTCTCTCAAGCTCCAGTTCCAAGGGATATGATGCCCTTTACCAGTCTCTGCAGGTACCACCTTATGCCTGATCTATACATAGGTACACAGAGACACAGAGACACACAGGCACATGAACACACATGTTAAAATTTGAACACAAAGTCTCAGAAAAGAACTCACAGATGGTAATCTATAAGTCAAGGCAGCATTTTAGAGATCTGGAAAAGAAAAGTTCATGACTGTGTATGAACCAAATCTTTACATTTGGGTTTTTCTCAACCTGTTATTACTTTAGACATCCATCTAACCATCCATCCATCTAACCATCCATTGATCCATCCATTCATCCATTCATTTAACCATCCATCCACCCATCCATCCATCCATCCATCCATCCATCCATCCATCCATCCATCCATCCATCAATATTTTGAGGTAGGGTCTCATGTTGAGGCCAAGGTTTATATCAAACTCACTATCTTCTGTCCCAGACTCCAGGATGTACAAACTGTAATAGCCTTCCTATCTATGTTTGGCTGAGCAGTCTTGATTTTAGTATGTGTGCATAGTGTTTCTTCCATTACACTTCACACCTACAGTGTTCAAGTGTTCTTGATTTCTCTGTCTCTCTGAAGTATTATATGGCATTTAATGCCTGTGTTCCCAAGAGCTCTAGTCATGTTGGTGGCCATGCGTAAAGGGGGATGCTAGAGCACAACATGGCTGCACGGGAAGGTGGCCCTGATGATTCCTAGACTTGCAGCATGAAAGAGGAACATCTTAGAGAAGCTAGGGTGTGGATGGGGCACGGCTTGTATCAGGAGAACAGAAGGCAACACATGATTTCAGATCAATGTGTCAAGGAGTGTATGCAAGATGACAAACTATGAACCTTTTAACATGAATGTGTAAGGAGAGGGAAAAGGTATAGAGTAAACCTTGACAGCCCTCTCAGATCCAGCCAATATTGCTAAAAAAAATTCAACAGTTTAGAGTACTTATATTTATCCTTTTGTATCCATGGGGCATGTCATAGCTGGAAGAAAACCTTTTCCACAGAGATCATCACTCCTCACTCACAAAATATTGCAGCTAACAAAATTCTAAATATTTAATAATGTGTTATTTTGTTGTTGTTTCTTCCGAAAGTCAGATCTCGGATGAAAGGTATTTCATATAGAACAGCCTTCAAGGAGGTAAAGAAGCAGGTCAAAGTGAAGGCTCTGTTATGGTCTCCATAGATTAAATAATTAAAGTTTTACAAATAATGTCAGCCAAAGAATATACTATTTGCATGATTAACCTGGAAAAGGAAGACAAAGGAATAACAGCTTGAGGATTTTTCTCATAGATTCTGACCCTTTCTCTTTTGTTCTTGGCTGTGACTCTCTGCAATGGTCTTATACTGCAGAATTGGCATGGAGATATCGATTGTGTTATAAGATAATGTATCACATGGTTTGGGAAAATGGCCTTTTCATACTGTTTATATAATTTTAATAATCTATTAACATATATTCATTAACATCCCATTTAGAAATGTATTAAATGATAATGCATAATTACCTTGCACAGTGCTGAATTGTGTGAATATATGCAGACACTACTTTACTTGGAGTCTCTCAGGTCATGCAATTGAAAATACTGAAAGTAAACTAAAATTGGCATCTTCATTCATGTATGTATGGGACAAATGGAGCTAGGAAGGTGCTTTTTCTCTGTCTGCCTGTCTAGTTGTCTGCCTATGCTGACTGCTCTAGGCAAAGTAGCTTATATAGTGCATGCCTCAGAGCTTGGAATATTAGAAATTCAGGATGAATGCAGTAGTGGCTTTGGTTTCTGGTGTGCCTGTTCTCTTGCCTTGTGAATGGTCATCTCTTTACTTTTCCTAACAGAATATACACATAGAAGACAGAAAGGGAGAGTTGGAGATAGAAATATACAGAGAGATGGCAGGGGAGGCAGGGAACGAAGGGAGAAAGACTGACGGGCTGTATATTCTCTTATTACATAGATGCTAATCTCATGATGGGAGTCGTACTTCCACCTAAATTTTTCCCATAGAAGGTCCCAGAGTTCAAATACTATCACACTGATTTTTTTTTGGGGGGGGGGTGTTACAAACTTTCAACCTTTAAGATGTTACCCTGTCCCACAATTCATGACCTTTTCACATTCAAAATATGATTCTTCAATTTGAACAGCTCTTTAAATCTCACTTGCTTTAACACCAATTTATTATTGATTTATTTTTTTCTGAAAATAGATTTTTATATAATATATTCTGATTATGGTTCCACTTCTCCAACTCCATCCAGATCCTTCCTACTTCCACTCCTAGCCAAATCCACACCTTTTCTTTCTCTCTCATTAAAATACAGATGGCAAAAAGATAAGAAAATAAACTAAAAACATATAAAACAAAATAGGACAAAACAGACAAACAGAAGAAAATGTGTTCAAGAAACACATATCGACATGCTGTTAGGCATGAGGCTGGCCTTAAGATTTGTTTGTACACCCAAAGAAGTTCTGTGGTGCAAAGTAATGTTCCTTTTGTGAACAGTTATCAATTAGAGACAGCTTTTGGGTTAAAGATTAGGGCTCATGTCCATTTCACCTCTCAGGGCTGGATTCCTATCTGGTTCAGATTTGAGTAGGTCCTGTGCATTCTGTCACAGTCTCTGTGAGTTCATATGTACATAGGTCCCGTTGTCTTTCCTAGGTGCCCTCCTTCTCTCTGGATCTTAAAATCTTTCTACCTTGTCTTTCTCAGGGTTCCTTGAACCTTAAGTAATGACAGTGGATAGGGTGTCACTAATTTTAGAGTTCTAACTCTCATTGCTATTTTTATCAATATGAAACATGGAGGAGCCAAATTATAGTTTATATTGAAGCCAAATCCCCTGTAGCTGTAACTTGTGGACCCAAAGAAAACATGTGTTTCCATCATACAATGGTGTGAGGAATAGAATAGATAGCCATTCTCATTCCAAGAGAAAGTAATTGTAAGCAAGAAATGAATGATGGGTCCCAAGCAAGTCTAAACTTAGGAAGAGAAATCAGTAGCTATGAAGGCTTAAGAAAAATTCATTTCAGTGATAAAGCTCTGCTTTTTAAATCCATTGGAGTAAAGGCTCCTCCCTGAGGTTCATTTACTGTCAGTTTACTGGTTCTCCAGGGCTGGCTGATAGCTGGGTCCTGAGATCTACATGTGTGGTTTATTGGTGGCATTACTTTTCCTGCCTGGCTATAATATGTCTTGCGTTTGCCTTGTCCATCAGTTCCATGTTGTGTGAATGTCTCCATGCATGTCCAGGATGAACCCAGGGTTTCCCAGTCCATGCCATCCTGAGTATCAATAAGACAATTTTATAGTTCTTATTGCTAGCATCTCTCACACAAGGTGCTAGGAGCACATTGTAGAAGATTTAAATTTCATCTGAATTTTTTCAGTGAAGAATGTTCTTTGTTTTGTCTGTTTAATTTTGTTTAAGGGTACTGTATTAAGGAGTACTATAGAGAGCATGGAAAATTAGATTTGAAATAAGCATAGTACAATAAATAAAGTCAACGACAATTCTGATTAAGGCTCCTGTACAAGCCAAGTTGGTCATTGAAAGTAAACATTCTAGAGTTGAAGAACATTCAAGAGGATCTGTAGATTGCAGTCTTAGGAATTCTTTCTCAGTCAGCATCTTCCTTAGTTCTGTGCCTCAGTTTTCAAAGACCACAGCTGTTTAGACATTCCATTTATTTTTTTTTGTTCATTCAACTACTATATGAATATCTGCTCTGGGTTAGAGAATGTGTTAGATACTTCAGTAGATACAAAGCTCCATCCAACCAACTAGGCAGAATATAGCTCCACACAGAAGATGCAGAATTTGTTGTTGAGATGGGGGAAATGCATGTCTGTTGAAGATTGACAAGCATGTTCAGCCTTGGACTTTGATCTTGTTGAATGTGGACAACTATGAAAACCACTACTATTCCTTGTTGTCCTTGAGTAGAGCATCTCATGAGGACCAGCCAGCTTTGGAGAGCTCTCCTTCTCTCTTTAAAATTAAATGCATGTCTTTGAATCAGTGTACATATTTACTAGAAAATTGTCTCTGAAACATTTCTGTCAACTCTGTGGGGGTTAGATTATTTTTAGAGTGAGTGGCTGTGACATTCACAGCATGTACCAAACACATGTGTTTGGTCACATTACTCTGGTATCCTAAATCTACAAAACACATATGTGTTTGGTCACATTACTCTGGTATCCTAAATCTACAAGTTTCTTTTGTTTTACATACAATTGTGTAGCTCATTTATATAATATTTGTATTCCTATGGTATTATCTTCAAGGAGAAAAGTTTATCTTATACAATTGTCTATTCCCAATATAAAGAAATCCGTTACTTAACTAACTTCCACCACATCTATATTACTAATGATGCTTCTTTTCTTTCCCTTTTTATTTTTCTTACAGAAATTACTGTGCTTTGGCTTTGTGGCCCTTTGAAGACATTCCTTTCTGTTGTCATCTGTTGAATGAGCAATCAGATGGGTGGAGCATGTTATAGGAATTGGCAGCAGGTATCCAATGGGTGAAGAAGGTAAGATGGACCAGTGGTACTGAGGGATTTACATGCTACTATGTTTGTACATATGGAAGTTATGCCTACCAGCTATAGTACTTGTATCTGGCTTGATCTGGAATTTCACCAAAGTAGCATTTTAGAAGGAGGCAATCCCCATTTAAGCAGACAACTATTCACTGTTGTTTTGATTGGTTTATTTTTATTGTGAACCTGTTAGGTGCCACTCTGGGGAGGAGACTCTTTGTATTAAATATAATATGAGAGCAAGGAGAGAGATTAAAGATGGTAATTCTTTGATAAGGACATGTTTTTACAGACTATGGTGATCACTACACTTCATTTCTGTCTTTTTCTTGCTTTTGAAAGGAATTCTTAAAAACAAGGTGGCTTGCATTGTGCAAGAAAAAGAAATTGCTAGGAGGCTGGAACTTTCTTTCATATCTCAAAAGCAAGGAAGCTTCAATAATGAGATAGGATGTCTGATTTTAATACTAGGCTCAGCTCTGCTCTTCACTGATTGACTGACTTTAAGTTACTGAGCCCTTCCCTGAGACAATACAGTGGTTGGACTGAGTTCCTGACGGTACTTAAGGTTTAGAAAATTTCAAATCCATTTACCCTCATTCTGTTAACTCAACGGTAACTGACACCATTTCCATAGGTCATTGACATCCCTAGTTAAAAATCTGAGTTTCAGAGATGGTCTCAGTGTGTATCCTGATTGCCCTGAAACTCACGATGTAGACCAGATTGTCCTTGAACTTACAAAGATCCACCATCTGCTGTCTTCTCAATGATGGAATTGAAGGCATGCACCACCACACCTGGCTTCCAGATTTAAAAAAAGAAATATTAACATTAATTCTTTTGGTAGGAGTTGTTAATTTCTGGGATTCTAGGTCTGTCTATCTGAATGTCTGTGTCTATTGTATATACTTACATAATTCCAGGTGATACATGTGTGCAGGACAAACGCATGTCACATATTTTTCCTCTAAACCTTTACTATGTCCTATATCCAAAAGGTCAGTGGGAGTTCAACTGTTTAGTCAGACTAGAAATGTAAGAGGGATCTCTTGTGGCTGTTAGTCCTTTATTCCTTGTTGTAACTGACTCTAGTATATTCCTATACATTCTGTTTTCAATTATTCTTCAATTACTTTTGGTTTATCTTTTCCAACAGATACTATCCAATGCAAGGCAAATATTGGTCTCTGAGCCTATTTTTTCTCATCAGCTCCAATGTGTTCCATTTTTCATACACATCTTGAGAAATATCTCTAAGTCCATCTATCATGTTACTCATCTGATTCATCCTTTTTAAAGATAGAGATATGAATTAGTTATGAGTTTTTTAAGAGACTTTCAGAATCCTTTAATAAGAAATCTACCCTCTGCTGACCAGACTCACATCTCAGCTACTCTTTCTGAACACCCAACCTTTATTGTATATTCCCCCATGAGCTACCCATTAGAATACAGGCTTATTTTCCCCAAGCAATATCATCGATCTTCTTTTTATATCTTAACTCGAACCTTTTTATTGCTGAAAAGATGTGTTTGCTTGTTTGCTCTGGGTTTTTATTCCCCAAGATCAAGTCATGGTTGCTTGCTAGACAATATTTCAGTAGCCAGGGATTACATCATCCACAGTAATTTTCACATTGAGTCTAATTGTCAGTAGATTAACCAGTTTTCTCATCTCTGTGATCAAAGATTAACAACTCATGGGAAGAAAGATTTCTTCCAGCTCATTGTTTTAGGATACTGAGTTCACTGTGGTGGGAAGGATAGGATGTGGTTCATAGCAGCACAGATGTATGACAGAGCTCCTTACACTGTAGTCGGATAAGAAACAACAGCTCTGGACCAAATTAGAACCAGACATGACCTTCAAGGCATGCCCAAGCAACTGATTTCTGCCTGCTGGGCCACAGGTTCTGAAAGCAGGGCCTCTTCTTAAAATAGCACCATCTTCTGGGCAAGAAGTGTTAAAACATAGATCCTGTGAGGGACATTTCATATTTGAAACAGAAAAGTATGTGTAATTGGCAACCTTTCCAGCTCTAGGTTTTTGGGGTCATGGTTCTTTGGGGACTATCATGTTCCTCTGACCCAGAATATGCAATAGTTACAGAGAGAGAGAGAGAGAGAGAGAGAGAGAGAGAGAGAGAGAGAGAGGGAGAGAGAGAGAGAAGACTTTACTAAGATCAGATAGCTGGGATTGTATTCTTGCACTGTGTCAGAAGAATGCTGTCATTAAAGATATCACTGTTTTAATTCTTGCTTTACACTCCAACTAGTATTATAATTCAAAAGATTTGAGTAAGAAAACTTGATCATATAGAAGATGAGTTGCCCATGTTAATATGCTCCAACTTATACTTTTTAGTTTGTATTAGTGGAATGTCTAGAAATGTGCCTTTTACCAGTCTCCTCTCCTGTCCTCTGGATAAACCTGCTAAAGTATGAGCAAAAACATGTCCTCCACCTAGGGCTGCTTCTTCAGCCTTCAGACACTATTGTTAAAAAGACAGTCATCTAGCCTCTGTTTGTGTAAGTCTTTGGAGATTTCCTGGATCTTTGAGTTTCATATATTAATGAGAGTCTGTTTTGAGAGAGAATTTCCATTCAAGAAGTCTTCAAACTTTTCTCCCACGCTCTGGTTAACAGTTCCTAAGCAAACAAATACACAAATAACACAATACAGGAAGCAAAGCTACACCTCCATGCAATACACCAGCCTGATTTGGGAACATGCAAGGCTGGGATGGGCTGCTTCCTTGTTGACATATTCCCCACTGCTCTGCTCTGATGCCTGGTTGGGCAGGTGACTTGCATCTCTCCTGTGGTTGTGACTGTGAATGCTAATCATCTTGTTTCTGCCAAGGCAGCTTGGTCTTTTCATTTCATCAGCCCTCTGAATCAGCACTTCATAGGGTGTACTAGTGACATTTCCTATTTTTCTAGAGAGTGGGAGCAAGGGGAATGAGGTAGCAATGAAGCCGAGTCAAAAGCTAAATAGAAAGCACTTCCAGGAAACCTGTTTTTACCACCAAGGAATTAAAACCACCATTTTCTTTGGAACATTGCATGGCTTTTATCTAAGGCTAGGAAGCAAAATATTCTTAGGGTTCTAGCAAAGACTATTGAGACCAAGGAGCCTGCTGCCCACAAATTTGTATTAAATCAAACAAACAAAAAACAACCACTACCAACACACACACACACACACACACACACACACAAGCAAAATATGACACAGAATAGTAGAATAGACTTTTCAGGACAGTGTTCTGATTTTAAGGTAAGGGTTTTTATGTCTCAGGGAAGAGAACAGCTTGTTAGGGACAAAACAAGATAAAGATTTGTCAAGACTTAGTTCTTAACTTCGGTGGCTCAGCTGAATCTAACCCTGTCCATTTCTTTTACATTGACTTGCAATATGTATAGATTCTAGTTTCCTGATTGTGTCCCGGTGATTTGCCACAAATACTAGGAGGGATGAAAAAGACATGTCCCCTCTCTAAATAAAGCTGGCAGCCACATGGATCTGTACAATACACTCAAATCAGAGTGGAAAGGGGACAGAGGAGAGACTTTCACCACAGGGTAAAGACAAAACAGGGTTCATAGGAACATCTCTTAGGCTAACCTCAGGAAATCCCCTGGAGCTTTAGTTTTTACCCCTAGCTTATCTGTAACCTAGGTATGATTCTCAGTTCACCAGAGAAATCCTTCAGGTGGCTGTGGGACAGCTGTCAGCCCTGCAACCCTGCTGGGTTTTTAATAGGTCACTGGGGCTTGCAAATGAATATCTTAGAGAAGTGTCCTTTGTAAGTGACCTAAAAGAGCACTCACACTCAGCTGAGGAACATTTGGTGGGGGCTGCAGGTCACAGGTCACCCCATTATTTCCCATTTGCATAGAAGTCAATTCCAGAAAGCTACTTGGAGGGCACCTCACCTGTGCTGCCAAATCCACCAGGCACTGAATTGTCACTGACAGCTCTAAATGCTGGCAGCCTGCTGCTGTGTCCTCTGCACCTGCTGGGGCTGTCTGAGAATGCACATTTCCTATTTCGGGATGTAGGCCACTGTGGAGAAGGAGGCCAAGTATCTGTCTGAAGCCAGTGTCACTGAAATCATAAACAGACATTCCATTCACTTGTTGATTATATACTGCAACTCTTCGCTATGGATAATGTGACAGCTATTTCCTGATTCAAGAAAAGATTGCTTGATGCTCTTATGGTCGAGGCGAAGCGAATATCTTACCTCAAATGAATTCTGGTCTAAAGGATAAGCTTACACCAAAGTGCCAATGCTTTTTCTTGCTTTATTTAACTCACAACACACCAAAGAGCCATTTTTTAAAAATAACTGGCTGATGGTTACTGAACATGGTTATGAAGCAGGCTCTGTCTTATACGATTTAGAGTCAGTATATTGTTTGATATTGTCTGAAACTTTGACTGCTTTGTTAGGTGCTCTGGAAAATGGTAGGATACTGAGGTTCTCAATACCTAAAGAATTTACAGAGGACCACAGGGTTGACAATGGATAGGCTGGTTCTCTGCCTCTGTGCATGTCAATGTGGTGTCTCCTGGTCAACAATTTGTCTCCTCTAAGTCTTTGTACCTCTTAATCAGCTTGTGTGGAAGAAAGTTAGAAGATATTTCCTGCAATTAGTTTAGTCTAGTCAAGTTTCAAAAGTCCATAAGAGTTTTCAAAGTTGCATAGTGTTTTCCAGCACCAACACCATCATCAGGCTTTTGTTGTGCTGTTCATCAACCATCCTGCACAGATGAAACTTGTTTTATATCTTGAGCCAGGTATTATGACTGCAGTAAAAGTCAACTGCTTACATATGAATATGACAACAAAACAGAAATTATAGTTTTAAAAGTCCTGCTCTGCATTCTGTTGATGTGTGGCTGGCAGACACACAACCAAGACACAATCACATCTATTAATTGGATACAAAGAAGGGCTAACTATGCTAGACAAAAATCA